AAGGAAGTAGTCTTTGCATTCAAAGTGACTTATAAAGGGCCTATGTTATTCTTAATAAGAGAAATGGTGTTAAAAACTGAGATCTTTCTTACTCCCTTGCTTCTCATGTTAGAATTACTTCAATTTTAAAGCTAATGATGTCCAGAAACTAGCACTAAGGATTGTTTTTGTTCAGAGTTAAGCACTTCCTCAATGTAAAGTGGTTTGGCCAACATGACTTGTCGGAGGATTTACTAAGCAAATTATTCAAAATATGAATGTAGTGTCTACTGCAGACCCAAATTAGATGATTAATAGATTCTTTTGTTGTTGTTCCGCTTTATTCAACTGAGGATGTTTCAGAGACAGACCAAAGTCAGGGAGAATGAATTCAACCATTTATGCTATGTTGGGGGAGAGAGAAATAGATTTTTCCCCTTGACCTTTTGGTGAGTCATTGGTACCCCTTCTGTGAGTTCAGTCTCATCAGAGAACAGATCTCTGCACACATTCTAAAGAATCAGAACATCTTTTGGCACTCCTTCACATCAGTTAGCCAGCTGACCTCAGATGTTTATGTCTCAAAAGGAAATACATACCATTTTCTCTTATCTTTTAAGTCAGTCAATTGAGAAGAATTTTGAAAAGTAGTCTCTTTGTTAGCCTGCAATGAGCATACACACTTGCGGTTCCTTGCACTCTGTGTAGCTTACTCACTTACTCACTATGTGCCGACCGTGGGGGAGAGGGAACAAAGGGCGGTTTAAAGCAATTCTTCACTTGCTTGTCCCCATGGCCCACTGACTGGAAAGGTGATAAAACAATTGTTCCAATTTAATCCTCTAACGCAATGAATATTAAATTTTGAATAATCCTAAATCATCTTATCTAGCCAAAAAAAGGCCTCCAGAAGAAGCTATTAAGAATATAGCTTCAAATATTCATCTATCTTGATCTGTAAGAAATTTATAAATTAGAAATTTTTAACTAAGAAACTTGACACTGTGAAAAAAAATAAATGTGCTTTTTAGTTTTTTTTTCTTTTTCTTTTTTTTCCAGAACCAGGGGATTGAACTCAGACCCTTGTGCTTGCCAAGGAAGTGTTTATTCCACTGAGCCATCTCCCCAGCCCCACTTTTTATTTTTCAACCTGTGGATATGGCCACATCATAAAAAAGCTAACAATTCAAAATGAGATTGTTCATCTAAGTCTTTTATTTGTTCTGACACAGATGAAATAAAAACAATCAAAATAAAACCAAAACAAAATTCTCAACTTCAAAGAACTCCATACAATGTACTACTTTTTGTGGAGGACCACCTGCATGACTCCCCTTGAAGGAAGAGGAGTTGTCTCCATTTTGGCTGTGCCTCGCCCTATTTCCATGTATTGACATGTACAGAGCTGGCTAGGACTTTGCCTTATCCCTTCAATTGGCTCTAAGCAATGCCTATTGGTCTAGCCAAGGTGCTGGTGTTAGTCTTTGAAGATGGCATGCGTGTTTGCCCAGTAACCTTGCTGCTCTTGTTCCATGGTGTTGGCTGGAATTGAGCTGGAGATAATGGCTTCGACTTCCTGGGGCTTGAAAGACTACACATGAGAGCTGAAGCACTGGACCCCAAAACACCGAATTGTGTAATGCAGATTATTCACTGCATATCCTTCTCTCTGCATATTGCAGAGGTAAACACAGGCCTCCTACCTAGCCCAGCTCACAGCACTCATCTATTTCCTGCCACGAATAACACCTGGTTCAGCCCTGGGTTGAGGCTTTGGCACCAGAGAGCCATCACGATGGCTAAACTTAGGATCCTTTGGCTCCCCATCACTATAAATGTGCTTTAGTGTCTTTATTCTCATTGTGAGGTGCACTGGATGTGGTAGATTGAAGTTAATTCAACAAGACTCCAATAACTTATCCATGAGATTACAAATATAAACTTCCTGGACCAAGACAAGGACCAGGAAGGACTCTATAACTTTCCTGAGACATAGTTCAAAATTGCAATGCATGAGTAGATAAAAGAAGTTCCTCTTAATCTGGATACTAAGCCCAAACACTTCTTTGTCCTATCTCTAATTTTTATTGATTCTTTATTTTTTTCTCTTTTTCTCTTTAATTTTATTGGTAAAATATGGTTATACATACTGATTACATTCACCATAAGGGATTTGTACACATGTATGATATACCTTGAACCCTCTTGTTTTCTTCAGTCCCCAACCCTCCTTTCAGCACCCCCTTCTTCTCTTTATTTACAAAACTTTGTCCGTACTCTATCCTTCTTTTCTCATTTTTTCCCTTTCTTCTTTCTTTCCCTCTCCTTCCCTAGTCCTCCTTCCATCTGAAACACTTCATCTTAGCTTACACTATGTATTATACATATTGGTCTTATTTACTCTTTTAGTTTCTCAGAACAACGAGACAGCGTGATACTACACACGGGGGCCTGATTTATGTCACCATCCATTTAGCTTGAAATGTCTCAAGTTTATCTTTCTTTATTATGGGGAGTAGCGGAGCTGGAGCGTGATCACACATGCCTGGCTCAAGCAATGCCAGCCCAGGAACGTGGAGCATCCCAGGGGAGCCAGACAAACAAGTTGCTATATTCCAAATGAGTTTTAGGAATGTTTTCTCTAGTTCTATGAGGTATGCTATTGGTATTTTAATTTGGATTGAATTAAATCTGTATAATAATTTTAGGACTATGGCCATTTTCACCATATTGGTTCTTCCCACCTAATATCAAGTGGCATCGTTCCATTTTTGGATATCTTCCTGATCTCCTTTTTCAGAGTACTGCAGTTTTCATTGGAAAGATCTTTTACTTTGTTAGATTGATTCCTAAGTACTTCATTTTTTCAATTCTATTGTGAAAGGTATTGTTTCTCTGTTTTCTTTCTCAATCAACTTGTTACCTGTGTATAGGAAGACTTGATTCTTGAGCGCTGCCTTTGTGTTCTACTACACAACTGAATTTGGTTACTGAATCTAGAAGTCATTCGTTGCAGTGTTTGGAGTCTTCTGTGTGGAGTATGATGTCATTTGCAAATAATGAAAATTTATTCCTTTGCTATCTTTATTTCTTTCTCTTTCTAATGGCTCTGGCTAATGTTTCCAAAATCACATTGAATAGCATTGGTTAAAGTGGACATCCTTATCTTGTTTCTGATTATAGAATAAAAGTTTTCAGTTTTTGGCTATTTAGTATGATGTTGGTCAGTGGTTTGTGATAGCTTTTATCAGACTGATGTAAAGATGATTCTGATTTTTTTTGTAGGGTTTTTCTCATAAATGGGTGTTAGACTTTAATCAGATGCTTTTTCTGCATTTATTGAAATGATCATGTGATTTTTATCTTTTAGTCTGTTGATATGGTGATTGTATTTATTAATTTATGTTTGCTGAACCATCCCTGTGTCTCTGAGATGAATCATACTTGGTCATGATGTATCATCTTCTTAACAATTTGTTACATTCTGTTTGCCAGTATCTTATTGAGGAATTTTGCATCTATTTTCCTTGCAGAAATTGGCCTGTGTTCTCTCTCTCTCTCTCTCTCTCTCTCTCTCTCTCTCTGGCTGGACTTTTCTCTGGTTTAAAAATCATGTTAACACATGTTTCCAGGAATGAATTTGGGAGTATTGCTTCCCTTCTATTTCACTATAGAGTTTGAGGAGTAGTGGCATTAAATTTTCTCTAAAATTTTGTACAATTCAACTATAAATCCATCAGGACATGGGCTTTTCTTTGTTGGTAAGATTTTACATCTTCAATTTAATTTACTGATATTGGATTTATTAGAATTTGTGCATCTTTTGGATTCAGATTTTATGATTCATATGTATCTAGGATATATTAATTTCTTTTGTGTTTGCAATTTTACTAGAATAAAGGTTCTTTAAGTAAGTATTAATTGTCTCCTGCAGAAATTATTGTGACTTCATCTTTTCCATCCCTAATTATATAGACTTGAGTCTTTCCTTTCTAAAATAAGGTTCATTAAGGTTTTATCAATTTTATTTAATCTTTCAAAGAACCAACATTTTGATTTATTTATTCTTTGTATTGTTTTCTTAGCCTCAGTTGGTTTAGTTTCTGTTCTGATCGTCATCATTTCCTCCCCCACATAAACCATGGGATTGACTTGTTCTTACTCTAGAAGTTTGACATAGAATGTTAGGTTATTTAAGCTTGCTCTGTTTTCCTGACTTGCGTTCAACTGCTGTATATTTCCTTCTTCTTATGGGTTTCAGAGTATCCAAGAGTTCTAGTATGCTCTACTGGCATTGTTATTTAAAAGTATAAACTTTCTAATTTCTTTTAAAATTTTATTTGTGACCCATTTGTTGCTCAGGAGGGTGTTATTTAATTTCCATATGTTTATGCAGTTTTTGTGGTTTCTTTTGCCATTGATTTCCAATTTACTGCACTATTGTGTGATAATATGCATGAGATAATTTCAATGCTTTTGAATCTAATTAAACATGTTCTATTAGCTATTGGGTGGCCTATTGTAGAGAATGTCCCATGAGCACCTGGGAGTATGTGTTTCCCACTGTGAGATGGAACATTCTACAGTTATCTACTAAGTCCATTTGTTCACAAGTTTGGTTCAGTTCTGAAATTTCTTCTTCTTTTTGTCTAGTTGATCTATTCATGACAGTTTGGTATTAAGTTCCCCTGTTACAACTTCAGTAGTGTTTATTTGATTTTTCATGTCCATTGCTATTTGTTTCATGTAATTAATTTTTTCTTTGGAGAAATAAAAGTATTCTAAAATTATAGATAAGGAAGATGATTACATAGCACCTATCATGTGGATGTTGAATGCTCCCCAAAGTTCATGTTTTGCAGTTTTGTCCCCAGTGTGGAACTGTTGGGAAGTGGTAGAGATTTTAGGAGGTGAAGTGTTGGCAAATCTTTAGGTCACCAGAGGATTGTGAGATTCTGGTCTTTTCCTGTCTTGCAGTTCCTTTGGAGCTCAAGAAATGAAAACATTTGCTTCACCACACTGATTGTGATGTGTTGACCTCACCACAGACTGAGGATCATGAGGACATTTGATCTAGGACTGGTACCTCCAGTCCTAGGAGCTAACAGGAACCTTTTCTCTTTATAAGTTAATTACCTCAGCTATTTTGATATAATGACAGAAAATTGTCTAATACAACAACCCTGTGAATATAAAGAGAGACATTAAATACTTTAATTGTACAGTGAATGAATTAATCTCAATAAAACTGTTTATTCAGAAAGGCAGTTTTGTCATCACAATGCCATCATGGCAGTGAGGAAATGTAGTTCTGATCAAAATTTATTTTTTTACTTGTTGGCAAGCAGTCATGGTGTGATCACATGGAATGAAAGAGAAGAACATTATCATGCCACAGTTTCTGAAACATAAACTACTACTTTAGAGTAGGGCATTATATATCTTTAGAAACATCTACTACCAAGACAGTTACTTGTAATTTTATAAGTCATTAAAAATAAGTGTGGATTATTTACTCTGTGAGACCTTGTAAGTTGGCATAACTGAAGCAGGTACTATCTGGGATGCAACTTACAAAAGGTGGTATATAACAGTAATAAAAATGCCTTTGAAGAAGAGGGGAGAACTGAAGAGTTGTTATTGGTACACTAATGATGTATACTTGATAGCAGATGTGAGCAACTTCTATTCCTTGTCTAGTCCTCAGGTTCTTAATCTGGAAGGGAAGAAGATTGAATTAGATCAATGTTTCCCAAAGAATTATTTACTATTAATCATTGTGATTTCATATTTTCTCAAAAAATTGAACACAAATTCGAACAATATTATTGTAATTCTGAGCAAATAGTGCTATGGATATTGTGTGACTATGGAAAAAATCATGATGTTAATATGATTACTGCAATTTGTAAATGCTTATAATACTTTTGTCTGTCTGTAATGAAAGGTTGCTGAATACATTAGCAAATGCTGCTATTTTGTGAATCTATGTCTCCTTCATTTATATGATTTATGATATTAATAATGATCATATGTTATGTGTCTACTATGTAACATTTCTTACAAATGAAGGAGAAGTTTCAGAAGACATTATAACCACCTGGTATTTTAGTTAGCCAAAGAAAATCTCACTGAGGAGCAAATACTGGAAAGATGATGAGATTTAGGAAGGTTTAGTTTTATTTAGCAAAGATTTAACAAAGGTTGGAGGAACATTTATTCCTGCAAGTGAGAAACATCGGAGGAGATCTAAATTGCAATCAGACATGTGGTACATGTGATGAAGTAATCAGTTCTATGTGGTCGGAGCCTTGAAGAGGAAGAAGAGAGACCTACATCAGCATCATCAACATCAGTGCTTGATGAACATTGATTCAAAAATATAATTTGAAAATATACTTGGAATATATGCTTCCATAGAAAATATGGTAAATGATTAAATTTAAAGAAATGTATTATGTTATAAGGCATCAATCCCCCTCAAGTTAACCCCTCTTTCTTCAAACTCACTTAATCCTATCACTCCTGCCATTTTTTGGAAGCAGTTTTGGAAATCTTTTTCCTTGAGTGTTTTCAGTGTGTTGTCAGGATGTTTCAATGTCCTAAATGGACTCAAAACATTTACCTTTAGAGGTCATTTTGGCTTTATGGATGAGCCAAATCTCAGAGGGTGCCATATCTAGTGAATAAGGTAGATAGGGACCCAGCACATGCTTTTACAAGCCTGCTTTTTCCTTGGCTAGCACCCCACAGCAGCATTTGCTGTATTTTTGATCACTTCTTGTGAAGGCATTCACTAAAGAGAGCTTCCAAAACCACTTCAGGGAGTAGCCACTCTCACTTCTACTGCCTTGACATAAGCTCTGATACTTAAACTACAAAAAGATTCTGAGGTTGCTGTCATTATTTGTCACAAATGAGGACTGAAGTGTCAAGTTAAAATGTTTTGCCCATTGTTACAGAGCTTGTAAGGAAAAACAACCTGAATTTGAATGCAACCAGTTTGCCTACAGAGCCAGCGAACAAGCCTCTGTACAATTTGGCTAGGGTCCCACATACTAGTCATCTCAGTGTCTCCAGTGCATTGCAATCCCTTGATTGTCCTCTGCTTAGGTTAGCATGACAGGCTGATTTAGCAAGAGAGCATTTGCTCTCTGGTCCTGGTTACAAAGCCTGTTATTAAAGTAAATAAGGCATTTAAAACTGGAGCCAAAAACTATGAAAATTTTATGACCCAACTTTTAGTCAAGATTCTGTACTGTGGATGAATGTCAAAAGGACTTGTTATGAAATTATATCTTTAGACCTTCCATGTAATTTCCTTGTCTTTAATGGAGTCAAGAAAGGTAAAAATAACAGTTTTATTATTACTGGGAAAATAATATAATCTTACTTGGGACAAGTATTGAAAAATATCCATTTGGTCAGTTTTTCCTCTGCACTATGATTTGATGCAGAGAGGACAAAATGTTATTTTTTGCTATATTCTTAACAAGCTTGCTTTGTAGCGTATCATAATTCATCATGTACTCATCAAAACTGACTTTTCATAGAATCACTCATCACATCGCAAATGTTCAAGAGTTCCTTATTGCATAACTCAAGTGGTATTATTACTAAACAAAGGTTAGGAAGGTAACTGGATGCCAGATTTATACTCTTCCATGAATTACACCCCATCCAACTTCAACAAGTGGAACAAATGACCCAAACCCTTTACTTCTAGTACAAATTTTGCAAGACAACATTTTGGTTAGTATTTAGGCTATCTTACCATTAGAAATTCAAAATGAAAGAAAACCAAAGTCAATATTTATCCATGCTGGCTGGAATTAGGAACTGTAATTTCAGATAAAATTATTACTTTTGCCTTCTCCTAAGAGGCATTTTTAATTGGAGCCGTAGCAGTGAACAAACCTTACTGCATTCTCTTAAATAAAGTGCTCCTTGGGAAAGAGAAACTTTCAGAAAGTTGGAAGATTGAAAATCCAAGAGGTTTTTACTTTCTCAAATGTGATTTTTTGATTGATTCAGTTCTCCATAAAGAGATGAATTGTGTGATCAAGGATACTCATTTTATTTTTTCTAGGTTTTATTGTCTGTGTTATATCATGACTAAAGTGCATGTCCTGGCTAAGTGTCAGAACATGATTTAGGATGATGAAGTGCACTGGTTGACTAGGATTGAGGGATTTTCTGTGATGTGAACATTTCAGGACTAATATCAGGACATATCCAGGAAAGTGGAAATGGTTGTTTACCTTCAAATAATGTGTTTTCCTTTGAATACAGCTCTAACCAGAGAAAGCTTTCATCACTCATCTACACAGTTGTAATTTCCTGAGACCTGAGACTTCTCTTATTTTGAAAATCTTTCCAGCCTAATCTGATGAGAAACCAGGTTTGTTTCTCTTTTCTTTCTTTCTCTCTTTCTTTCTCTCTTTCTCTTTCTCTTTCTCTCTTTCTTTCTCTCTTTCTTTCTTTCTTTCTTTCTTTCCTTCCTTCCTTCCTTCCTTCCTTCCTTCCTTCCTTCCTTCCTTCTTTCTGTAATTGATACAGAGTCTTAGTATGCAGCTCGGGCTCATAATGGTCCTCCTGTTTTCAGCCTCCCCCAATGCTGGGATTATAGGTGTGTGCCATCATGCCTGGATTCAGTGCCTGGCTCAGCATGCCTGAGGGTGGGGCCATTGCAGCATGTGGTGCTGGGGATCAAACTCCGATCACTGAGTTTGCCTAAGCAGGTGTTTAATCTGCTGAGCTATCTCGCTAGCCCAGTTTCTACACAGTTCTGAGACAGTGAAAGTAGTAAACTGCTCATGGTGTCAATGAAAATTGAAAAAGTATATATTTTCTTTTATACATCCTAGGAATATTGCTATAGTTGAACTATATTTAAAAACATAAAACAAATGGCTTCTGTGATGAGAAACTACTATGGTCTTAATTCATAAAGTGCACACTTTTTTGAAATGAGACTTTTATACATACAAAACTCAAGAAAATAAAACATCACCTACGTATGTAGTCTTGAAAAATTTGGAAAGTATAATCAGAATAGATGATATTGCTCCTACTTATTAACATCCACCCAATCCAAGGGAGGGAGAGATAGAAAATAAGACTAAAAAAACTCTTTTCACTCTTAGAATCTTCAAATGAAATATTAGATGCTCTTGCTTCATATTTCAGATTCATACTTCTTTATTTTTTTCCATAATTTTATTGAGAGACAAATAGCAATGAGAGAGTATCAAATCAAATTGGCATGACAGTTTCAATAATTAACACATTGCATACTTTTTTCTAGTGGATATTTGCTGCACAAGATGCAGACATGATGTCCCATTTACAAACACTATTAGAACAAATCCCTCTATTCATTAAGAGAATGTAACTATATATCTATCCTAACCACTTTGAATACACAGAAACAAAAAGGACATTCATCTGTGTCCCTTTTTTGTTTAGTTCTGTCATTTGAATATTATAAGTGTGTAAAATCAGCAAAGTATTCTAAAGGAGTCCAGTAGTCCAAATAGTATTGGGTCTTCTGCTTGACTGGCAGTGTCAGAAATTGTTGACCTGAGTCCCCTACAGCTCAACATAAAAGCATGGCTTTACTTCTTATATTTCATTTTTATACTTTTCTTCTGG